AAGTTTCTAGATGTACATTCAGTGACATCGGTTACAGTTGTGCTGCTATTCTCACTATCCTTTTCCAAATTATTCCATCACCATTATCTTCAACTCACTGTCCCCTACGCTTCCCATCAAATCTTTTGAGTTGCTGTTGTCAATTTGATCTCACATAGATAATTCTTTTTTTTTTTTGGTACCTTAGATGAAGGTTTGCAGAACAGTTTTGCACTAAACAGTTAGTACATATACTGCCCTATGACAACGGTTAACAACTCCACGACATGTCAACACTGTCCATTCTCAACCTTGGGTTCCCTATCACCAGCTTTCTTGTCCCCTCCTGCCGACTAGTCCTTGTCCCTGGACTACTGTGCCTCATTAGTCCCGTTCTGTTTTATGGGGCTGTCCAATCCCCGGCTAATGGTGAACTTCAGGAGTCACTTCATCACTGAGCTAAAAGGGTGTCCGGGGGCCATACTCTAGGGGCTTCTCCAGTCTCTGTCAGGCCAGTATATCTGGTCCTTTTTTTGTGAGTTAGAATTTTGTTCTATATCCTTTTCCAGCTCTGTCCAGGAGCCTCTATTGTGATCTCGGTCAGAGCAGTCAGTGGTGGTAGCTGGGCACCATCTAGCTGTACTGGACTCAGCCTGGTGGAGGCCGTGGTAGCTGTGGTCCATTAGTCCTTCAGACTAATCTTTTCCTTGTATCCTGTTCTCTTCATTCTCCCTTGTTCCCGAAGGGGTGAGACTAGCGGAGTATCTTAGATGGCTGCTCACAGGCTTTTAAGACCCCAGATGGTACTCACCAAGGTAGAATGTAGAACATTGTCTTTATAAACTGTGTAATGCCAATTGAGCTAGATGTTCCCCGAGACCATGGTCCCCACAGCCCTCCACACAGCAATTCAGTTCCTCAGGGAGTCTGGATGTGTCTATGGAGCTTCCACGACCTTCCTTGTACAAGCTGTGCTGGTTTCCCCAGTATTGTATACTATCTTACTCTTCACCAAAGTTACCACTTACGTACTGTCTATTTAGTTCCCCCCCCCACCCCTCCTATCCCTGGTAACCAACAAAGATTGCTTCTTTTTGTGCGTAAACTTTTACGTGAGTTTTTACAGTAGAGGTCTCTTACAATATTTGTCCTTTTGTGATTGCCTTATTTCACTCAGCATAATGTCCTCCAGTTTCATCCATGAGATGCTTCACAGATTCATCATTGGTCTTTATTACTGCATAATACTCCACTGTGTGTATGCACCAGAGTTTATCCATTCATCTGTTGATGGGCATCTAGATTGTTTCTATTTTTTTGCTACTGTGAACAGGGCTGCAATGAATATGGGTGTGCATATGTCTGTTCGTGTGACGGCTCCTATTTCTCTAGGATATATTCCTAGGAGTGGGACTGCTGGATCGTATGGTATTTCTATTTCTCTAAGGAAGCGCCATATCATTTTTTAAAAATGGTTGTAACATTTTGCATTCCCACCAGCAGTGCATAAGATTTCCAATCTCCCGGCAGCCTCTCCAACATTTGTTATTTCCAGTGTTTTTGATTTGTGCCAGTAATGCTGGGGTGAGATGGTATCTTGCTGTGGTTTTAATTTGCATTTCTCTAATGGCTAGTGATTGTGAGCATTTCCTCAAGTGTCTGTTGGCCGCTTGGATGTTTTCTTTGGGAAATGTCTGTTCATTTCCTTTGCCCACTTTTTATTGGATTATTTGTCTTTTTGTTGTAGAGGTGTTGCATTTTCTTATATACTTTAGAGATCAGACCTCTGTCTGACTTGTAATGTCCAAAGATTTTTTCCCAGTCTGTAAGTTCTCTTTTTACTCTTTTGATGACCGTGTTTAATTTTTAGAAGATCCCAGTTATCTAGCTTATCTTCTGGAGTTTGTGTGTTGTGGTTATGGTTTGTATCCTGTTAATGCTGTGCATTAGGGCCTCTAGTGTTGATCCTATTTTTTCTTCTATGAACTTTACAGTTTCTGGCTTTATATTTAAGTCTTTGATCCAAACTGAATTAGGTTTTGTGTATGGTGGGAGATACAGGTCCTGTTTCTTTCTTTAGTAGATGGATATCCAGTTCTGCCAGCACCATCTGTTAAAAAGACTATCGTTTCCCCATTAGATGAACTTTGGGCCCTTGTCGAAGATCAGGTGAGTGTAGGTGGATGGATTTACATCTGGGTTCTCAATTCTGTTCCATTGGTCAATGTATCTGTCATAGTACCAGTACCAGGCTGTTTTGACTACCGTAGCTGTATAGTAGGTTCTGAGGTCAGGTAGCATGAGTCCTCCTATTTTATTCTTTTTCTGCAATAGAGCTTTACTTATCTGGGGCTTCTTCCCTTTCCATATAATGATTAGTTTTTCCATCTCTTTGAAGAATGTTGTTGGTATTTGGATCGGGATTGCACTGTATTTGTAAATTGCTTTGGGTAGAATTGTCATTTTCACAATGTTGAGTCTGCCTATCCATGAGCATGGTATGTTTTTCCGTTTATGTAGATCACTTTGGGTTTCATGCAGTAGTGTTTTGTAGTTTTCTTTGTATAGGTCTTTTACATCCCCGGTCAGATTTATTCCTAAGTATTTTATCTTTTTAGGGGCTATTGAAAATGGTATTGTTTTCCTGATTTCCTTTTCATCATTCTCTTCATTGGTATATAGGACACCAACTGACTTTTGTATGTTTATCTTGTATCCTGCTACTCTACTGAATGTTTCTATTAGTTCCAATAGTTTTCTCATGGAGTTTTTGGGGTTTTCTATGTATAGTATCGTATCATCCGCAAACAGGGACAGTTTAACTTCTTTATTACCAGTGTGGATGCCCTTTATTTCTTTTTCTTCCCTTATTGCTCTAGCTAGGTAGAACAGTATTGACTATATTGTCGACGATAAAAAAGCTACTCCATGGATTGATAATACATATATTTGTTTTTAATGCTTAGTCATAAGACCTGGATTAAGATTATACTGATTTGCCTAAATTTTCCTGATGTCCTCAAACACTTAAGGTAATCACATCTCAGCAGTATGTAAGCTTCAGTGTTGTCATTTCTTTAGTCAGGATATTATTCCCTTACACCTAGTGCCTTTTTAGCATGGTGGTAAAATGACCGCAGGTACTTCTGTTAATTTTTAAAGCAGTCTACAACTCAATAAATTAAAATTATTATGTGGGAGGTAGGTTAACTCTTTTCTCTTGAACAGCAGTAGCAACAATGTCAGAAAATAAGATAAAGCACTTTGACAATCAGTCTCAAAATTAATTATTCTAATACAAAATAGTTTTATATAGACAAAAAAGCCCAAAGAATTGTATAATTTATATTTTTGTATCTTAGTTCCTAGCCAGTGGAGATGCTCGATAATGGTTTGTCCATTTATTTACTAGCCACAGATTTATTAAACACTATGTGTGAGGCAAGGAACCCTGGTGGTACAGTGGATAAAGCGCTAGCCGGATAACCAAAAGGTTGGCAGTATGAACCCACCAGCCACTCCACGGGAGAAAAATGTGGCAGTCTGCTTCTGTAAAGATTTACGGCTTTGGAAACCCTATGGGGCAGTTCTACTTTGTCTTATAGGATTGCTGTGAGTTGCAATCAAGTTGACGGCAGTTGTTTTTTTTTTTTGGTATGTGTGAGGCACTGAGCCAAATACTGCTGATACAATCAACAGTAAATAAGAAAGACACGGTCTCTACCCTCACAGACTTTTCAGTTTAGTAGACAAGAAAAGAAGCATTAGGTACTGAATTACAATACAACACTATGTTAAAAACCCATTGCCAGGCAAAGTACAGTGTAAAAGAATTCATCCAAATCACACTCATGAATGTGTATGGGAAAAATCGTGTATTTCCTGACCAAAATATAGAGGCAAAAGGTGGAGGAAAACCTAAAGCAGAGGGATAAATGAATGATAAACCAAAAAACCAAACCCACTGTCACTGAGACGATTCTGACTCATAAGGAGCGTATAGGACAGAGTAGAACTGCCCCAAAAAGTTTTGAAGGATCACCTGGTGGATTCAAACTGCTGATCTTTTGGTTAGCAGTTGTAGCACTTAACCACTATGCCACCAGGGTTTCCAAATAAATGATAGTTATGATAATATATATTAGCCAGTATCAAAGGTCACAAATACCATTTAAGTTTCAATAAAAAAATGATTGATTCATGTATGAAATGATCATCATTAGAAATAAAAACAGTTTATGTACTTGAGACACTGAAGTACCTACGTGTGAGTTAGATATAAAAACACTTAACAACCTCACTGTGAAAAGATTCTCTTGATAATAACTAAGAATCAGAACTGACAATTTATTTTACATGATTCTTTGGCAAGATACCCTGCAAAACATCAAATCTTACAGTTTCATTTTGTTTTTGCTTTCTAGGTTAAGGCAGAATGGTATTTAGAAACTCTATTCTCTTAACTTTACATTTTGCTTGCAATCCCAACAGAAAGAGATGGGGATGGACAGCTTATAGGGAGCCAAAAAGTAGTCACTGAAGAAGGAAAGGAGCCAAGGAAAACAAAAAAAATGTAAATAGCCTTTTCCTCTTTCTGCTGGGTGCAGAAAAGGTTTGGGTTCAGCTTATCTGCTCATTTAAAAGATGAGAGGAAGCTGGCAGAATCCTGGGCTAGCATCCTCCCTTCTGTGAAGAGGTTTACTTCCCTTCTATTTCATCCTCATTATTAGAGATTTGAGGTATTTTTTCACGGCTACTTTAGTGTAGATAAATGTATAAAATTTTAATCTGTCTCCATAATTATTGCATGCAAGGTATCTATTTTTATGTCCTATAACAATTGGAGCAAGAAGCATCGTAAAAGTACCAGGGATCATTATTCTGGTTTCACAGCTATTAGACCAGCTCAGATGGTCTATGATACCTGATATGACGATCTCAGGGACATCCAGAATGTTGCCAAATGAAGCAGTTTTACGGTGGCCCCGTTTAGGCTTGGAATAGGCTGCAAAAACACATATATACAGTATACATGCAAACAACCACAAATAGGAACACAGAAAATGACTAACTGCAAAAACAGAATAATCTTCAAATAGTTATGTTAATAACACGTCATGCAGAATAGCATGCAGAACTATCTAACTTTTCATCCATGCTTAGGCATGATTAAAAAGCAAACAATTACCAGTACAAGACATCTGACACACTAGTTTTAATTAGCAAAACAAACAAAATAAAACAAAAATGACAAAGACAAAGCTGCAGGATGATGAGGAAGCTAAATTTCAAATGTGTTCATAGGAACAATCTACCTAAGTGAAACCACTGATATACCAGGGGGGACTGGATGAAAGAGGGAAGGAAGAGAGGTGTTAAAAAGGAATAAGCTAACATTTCTGTTTTAATTACCTTATTTTACGCAAATAATGCATACTTTCTATGTCTGTTTGCCAACCACACTCCCTGCCAAGGTATTTTTGTAACTGCCCTATGTTATTTTTTTTTTTTTTTTTTACAGCAACATGTAGAAAGAAATTAGCACAGCAATGCTTACAAAAATACCTGGGGGGAAGGGGGATGGGCAGGGTTGGCAAACAAATGTAGAAAGTACACGTATTTGCTTAAAAATACAGTATACAAACACAGGAATACATATTCAAATGAGATGTTTCTTGAAGTGTGTTATAAAGTAAAATTCAGTGATTAAATGATAATTATTGAATTAAAGTGAGAAATGCTTATGCTTTCATAATTATAAATACTTACTTCTTGTAAACTGAATATTTCCTAGAGTTTTCAAAGTTAGGGTACATTCCTGCTAAACATGATTGGTGTTGAAAGGCTGGAGAGTATGAACCTTTCAGGGTAAGATACTTCAGTAAAAAATCTAGATCGTGTAAAATTCCAAGACTGCACAATAGCACTTGTTCTACACTTAAGGCAGAAAAAGAATAGGGTAATTTTAATGAGTCTGGTTATGCTTAATTTAGTGAAATATCACTTCTGTAAATAATAAACCAGTGCCTGACTAGAAAAATGATACTCAAAAAGATATAAAATTACTATGATTTTTACCATCTGCTGTAAATTTTAGGGCAGCAATCAGAGCCTGGCAGGTCTATCTTGAACGACATCCCTGAAGTAAAAAAGGTACCCCAGAGAGTGAAGGTATGGCCTGGTGTGCACCATTCATCTGACATGACACCGAGACGACCCTGTCCACAGAAATACTTGTGACTCAGGGAGAAGGACGGCTTGTTAGTGGTTGGTTCTGAAGATCCATCTGTGGGGCAAAGACTGCTAATTCCCTGCCAATCTTTATTTTTCCCTCCTTTTTTAGCAACAGAACCTTGATTTTACCTAGTTAAGAGCCAACTGATTCCCTTTGCCCTTGAAGCTATGCGTAGACAAGTGACCATATTATGTTGGCCAAAGACAGCTAGGTGGAAGTTGTTAGGTAGGACTTCTGGGAAAGCCACCCAAAAGAGCTTGGGTATGTGCCTTTTTGCCCTCCTCCTACTTCTTCCTTGGTGTTGCCTGGAATGTGGATGTGATGACTGGAACTATAGCAGCCATCCTGGAACACAAGGTAACCTTGAGGATGGAAGCTACACAACCGGGATTGTGGCACAGGGAGATAGAAGGAGCCCAGTTCCCTGATGATCATGGAGCCTACCTCCAGACTTGTTTATGTGTGAAAAATAAATCCTGTGTGTTATAGGCTCTGTTATTTTGGATATTCTGTTATATTTAACTGATTCTGATGCTACCTGATAAATTCAACAACCATGGTTAAGTTGAAGATAAGTGTAGCATGATGATCCATAGTACCACTCAGAATAGTATTATGGCAAGATTCAAGTGTAATATTTTAAAAAACAGTATTTTTAATGAGAGTTTTTTTTTATTAAAAATAGAGTGAAACTTGGAAATAACCAAGCCTGGACAACTTTTTTTCTGAAAAGAGCTCCACACAAAATGAGAACATTCTATTTAGAAAAAAAGAAAAAAAATCTAAAAAAATAACACGTGGTTAGCTAAGTTAAAATATATGTACGTAAATACGCATGGAAATATACATGTATACACATATATAGTTAAAAGACTGGAGGCAATACATAAAAATGTTAAGTGCTTATCTCTGGGTGGGATGATTACAGAAAGTTTTTGTTTGCTTGTTTACATTTCCACATATCTACACTGGAAATGCATTTATGTTTATAATCAGCTCCCCTCTACCCCCGGAAGAACATTAACACCAACAACAAAAAATCCCAAATTAAACCAGCATTACTAATATGAAACCTGTTTAGAAAAGAAGGTTAACAGTTCACTCAGGTAACAAAACATGTAATTAACTGTTTTTGTGCTGACCAGTTCTTTCAGGATTAATCATTTTAAGAACTGACAAAAACGGAACTTAAATATGAGCTTTTTCAAAATCCAATAAAATTACTATGAACTTTTATTTTACATTAAAAGAACTAACCTCAACCATCTTAACTCTCTGTGCCACTGGGAGGAAGGAGGAGCAGACAGTAAGGCCAGGACAAATTATGTTTGGATCTGGAGTACACTTTTTGGTTAATTTCAAAACAAGATATTTGCTATTATTTGAGTTCAGCACAAAATTCTAGTAGAAACGCACAAAATTCTAGTAGAATCACGCAAACTCCTCCAAAGGCAACTAACATTTTGTTTTTAGCAAAACTTTTCTCAATTAAGACTTTCAGCATACATTTGAGCTGAAAAAATTACATTTGGTAGAATCTGTGATTAGGAAGGTATATTTTATGATCCAGATAATTTTTATGAATCATACCTGGAATTATTCCATACTTGGAATTTGAGATAAACTACTGCTAGAAGCTTTAGAGTATATTGTAAACCTATTTTCTGCTTTAAAAAAGAGACACAAAAAAATCCTGATATCCTCATTACTAACATAAAAGAAACTACCACACCAGAATGAATTACATATATTTTCACCTCTACTGAGACCTTCAGTTCCTTTTTACCTGTGGCTGCAGCTATCCTTGCTTCTATTTCAGACATGTCAGCACTCATCCTCTTGCCCTCGGAGGTTGGGGGCAGGCTCTCCACACTGCTCCCACGGGAAGCTCCCAAACTTAAACGTCCAGATTCACTCTGTTAAAATTATAGGCCAATTTGAATTAATGAAGGTCTTTAGATTTAGGAATCCTGAGCAGCCTAGAAGGAGGAACATGGGATTCTTATGCATCTTGTTCTGCTCTAAAAGAAAAGGAAAGTTTGTAGGGATAGGGAGCTACAGGGTAAGGGAGTAAGCCAGTGATATTGCCATTATAAAAGGGCAACCACTAGAGTTGGGAATTAAATGCCCCAATTAGTAGTTAACCTAAATGCCTCAGGTCAGAAAAATGAAAGCACTTCTTAAAATATTTCTAAACCAATAATGGCAAAAACTAGTAAATCTGGACAGATGAAATGACACATTAAGGACAGTTCCCTTAGCTGGGTAGTTATGCAGCCAAAAAATATTCATTTTACATTTTAATCATCAACCATTAAAGCTGAGATGATCATAGGAAGGAAGTAATGAAGGATGGTGAATAACTAATTTCAGTTAGTACAATGTTATGACTACTGGCAAGGTTACCATATGATTTTACTTTTAAGAACATCACAAACCTGTTGCTTTGCCTGATTTTTCAACAATTTTGATTCTAAGCGTTTAATAGTATCATTTGTGGCCGGAACTTGCTCCATATTAGTGTCACTTTTATTACTGGTATTTGTAGAAGTGATGTCCATGAATGAACCTAGGAAAGCAGAAATATTTACTACTATAGGTTGGGAATAACACAAAATGCTTCACTCAGTGATAAACCGAAACCAAAACCATTGCCATCAAGTTGATTCTGATTTACAGTGACCCTATAGGACAGAGTAGAACTGGCCCATGGGGTTTCAAGGAGCAGCTAGTGGATTTGAGCTGCCGCCCTTTTGGTTAGCAGCCAAGCTTTTAACCACTGCGCCACCAGGGCTCCCACTCAGTGATATATAATACAAATTCCATTCTAAGTGTAGCAAGTATAAACAGAAATAAGATTTTTCAAGATACATGAGAAATTAACCATAGAAAATAACAGATTTATAAAAGCTAATGAAGATACTCAAAAAAACCCATTTTAAATTAAACTTAAAGATAGCATAAAAAGAGAGCCAAAATGCCTAAATAGTCCTCAGTCAAATAAATAACGCTGCTTTCAAGGATGAAAGGAGAGATATGAGGAAGAGGACTAGGGTATTCAATCATTCAACAAACATTTATTAAGGATGCACACTGTACGCCAGTTACTATAAAGCAGTGAATCAAACAGACAAAAGACCCTGACCTCATGGAGGTAATGTTCTAGTTGGGAAGACAGACAATAAATAAGTGGAATACATAGTATGTTACATAACCATGAAGTGTTTAAAAGAAAAAAAAAAGGGAAGGTAGAGAAAGTGTTAACAGTGGATTGTTGCTGTTTTACATAGGGTAGTCAAGGAAGGGCTCACTGAGAAGATGAAACTTCCTTCTCCAAAGGAAATGAGGCACACATCACATGGATCTCCGGGGGAAGAGCAATGCTGGCAGAGGGAACAACATGTGTACAGATGTTAAAGATGTTAAAGCCCGAGTATGTCTAGCGTGTTTCAGGAACCATGAAGCCTGTGTAGCTGCAACAGTCTAAATCCGGTGGGTGGTGGGTGAGCTGTGGTAAACAACAGTCAATGATTTGAACAGTGGAGGTGGTGAGAAGAGTTTGGATTTTGGATAGATTTTGAAAGTAGAGGTCAATAGGGTTTGTTGAGAGACATTAGAAAAAGAGATGAGTCAAGACTGACTTCAAGGTTTTTAGCCTGAGGAAGCAGAAGAACTGAGTGCTTATTGATCGAGATGGGGAAGAAGATCATGGAAGGAGTGACTTTGAAGGATGTATTGGGAGCTCAGTTTGAAAAATGTTAAGTTTGAGATATTTATTTGATGTCAAGTAGGCAGCTGGATATATGAATGTGGAGTTCAGGTCTGGGACTGGGAAAAAAATCTTCAGCAAACATATAAACCATAATAATGGATGAGATCACCGAGGAAATGAGGGTAGATAGATCAGTGAAGAGGTCAAAGGACTAAGCCCTGGGTACTCGGCATTTAGAGGTGGGGGAGATAATACATAACCGGCAAAGGAAACTGAGAACAAGGGCCAAAGATGTATGATGAAATCTAAGCTAGTAAGGTTTCCTGGTGATCAAGTGAACATAGTGCTGTAAGGTGAGAGTAATGAATTGTGTCAAATGCTATTGATAGTTAAATAAGAGGAGAACTGAAAACCACCCATTAGATTTAGTGAAGTGGAGATCACTGGTACCTTGACAAGAGCAATTCTGGAACAGCAGGATAAGAAAAGCGTGAATGAAATGGGCTCAGGAGAGAATGGGAACAGAGAAGCTAGCAAATGTAATATAGACTATATATGCTGTAGAAAAGATCCCAGTAGAAAGGCTAAAACTGATGATGGAGGAGAAAGCAGGGGAGAATTGCTGGGAAGAGCAGATGGAACGCAAAGCACAAGCAGAAGGATTGGTCTTTGGCTAGGAGCATGGGTGGTTCGACCATAGCACCAGAACAGAATACAGAAGAGGTGGGCACTGATGCAGCCAGGTGGGCATATGTAGGGGGAAATCCTGTGGAAGCCCACTTCTGATTACTCCAATTTTCTCAAAGAAACAGCAAGCAAGGTCAGCTGAGAGTGAGGAAAGGAGAGGAGGTATTTGAAGTTTGAGGAGAAAATCTAAAGTATAAAATAAGTTACCTAAGACAGGAGAGAGTACATGAACTAAGATTACTACAATTTCCATCAGCACTAAACACTCGGGGATAGAGAGCATGTGTGACTCCGGCCTCATTCAGTTGCACAGGTGCAGGCATGGAGTAAGGTGAGTGTTGGATTTAAATAGGCTTGTGGTTTTTTAGCTAAGCAAGTTTGCGAGAGGGGCTAGAAAGCAACTGACTGTGGAATTATGTAAGTGGAGTAAGGCAGGAAAGACCCGTGAGTACTGAGGATCACCGAAAAGGTGAAAGGATGAAAGGACTGAAGGTCACAGTATCGTAACGGAGAGAGGGGTTGGAGGTAGAGGTAGAAGCAAGCCAAGGAATTTTAGAGAAGTTCACTTTAGAATTTGAAGCAAGTAAAAATATTTTCAGTACAATTAGAATCTGGGAATAACTAGCTAAGTAGTAAACCAGCCTTAAATAATTCTTCTTGAGGTGGTGGTGGGGAAATAGAGTAGTAAAAGTTTTTGCAGTAAAAATAAAATTTCTAATTTTTCAAAATTTAAAAGTTTATGTGTAGGAAAAGAATAGTGTAAAACACACAATATAAATTTTATTAAATTAATATAACAAAATGCTTAAAAATGTTATACATTTTGAGAAGTACAAGTTTTCTACTATCCTGTTTTATTGTCGTTGTTAGTTGTGCTTGAGCTGCTCCCGACTCATGGTAACTCCACATGAGCAGAGTAGAACTGCTCCATAGGGTTTTCTTTTGAAAGCAAATCTCCAGGCCTTTCTACTATCCTTTTCTGATGATCACAGCTACAGAGCTCACCATTATTTCATATTTAAAAAAACTGAAAAAATTTTAACTAAAATATAGCTTATTAAATAAGAGTGCCTGTAGAAGAGAAACAAAATATATGGTGTTCATGATGAAGAAACGTGTTTAGTTACATACATTTAAAATAATTTTCTAATACTATCTGATTTAGTTGTATACATTAACAACTATTTTTCAAATTAAGAGTGGAATTCACAGCAATACAATATCCAATCTTTTTATACATAACTATGCCAGAATTCCAAGACTTGGAAGTAGATCTTTTATAACACTAATGTGGGTACCTTTATGAAGAATGATGTACCTAGAAACTCAAACTGCACTCAATTATACGAAATGAAGGAATTAAAATGCAAATGGGGACATCACTCATTGTTTCTTGGTTATACTTTCATGGAAATTGAGGACCCCTCCTCCCCACCCCCCCAAAAAAATCAGGTTATTACCCTTCCAATCTATTTATTTACCTGTACTGGTGGCAGAATTGCTCTGTCCTTCATCTGAATACTGACAAGGATATTGTAAAGGCTCATCTGCTCCTGGAAAGTACTATATATAAAAAAGTAAATCACTATTAAAATTTTCTTTAATATAAATCAAATCCTGTTAAAATTAACTTGAAGAGTACATCTGAATTATTTTCTTCTCATGAATTTGACTGTAGCAAAGATGTTGCTTTATTTTCCCTAAGGCATACACTAAATTTGCAGAAACCCTAAGTTTATTTTACAAAGATGATGATAATGTTGTCTCATTTGGATTTTAACTGTGACCAATGCCATGTACCTACCTAAGCATCTAGTTTACATGGAGCCTAGATGATCTTGAAGAAAACAGCAAATATTTTTCTAGAGGAACATATGAAATAGAATAATAGTATCACTCCTCATAACTATATGAAACACATTTACGTTCTCATAGCAATGACATAAACTTCTAGGTTGTCGCAATGATTGTTACAGTCTTACAACGGAGACTGGTACACTATAGGATAATTGTTAGGACTAATTTTTAAAATACGACAAGGATACATTATGGATGTCCCTCTATGACTTGGAGACACTTATTAGAAATATTTGCTGGACCAAAAAAAAAGAAGAAATTTAAGGGAAAAAAAAAAAAGACATTCTTCTCCAATTAGATAAAGACTACATAAGCACAACTACAGTTTGAACAATTTATACATTCCAAAGTTTTAAGTTATCTGATTTCAGAGACTACACTGTTTTCTTATACACATATAGGGTTCTATCTATAGCTGGTACACAAATATTACCTAACCTATTTTCAACAGACTGAACCAAACTAAATCTCTGGCCGTTTGGGAAATCACAGTAACAGTGTATCTTAAGATCCAAGAGCTAAATCTTGGTTAATCTACGTTTAAGGAGAATGAAAGATTCTTCTTCTGAACAAACTGTTCTGAAATTCAGGCACTTTTTCATAAATACGTTAACTTTTTAAAGTGAAGATATCATATGACAGATTCTGTTAGTGCACTAAACTCTAGAGGCCTAGAATATTTCAAACAATACTAAATTATTAGACAAGGACATTCTAATAATCATTTTTAAAGGCTTCATTTAAATTTAAAAATTCAATAAATCCTAGAATAAATTTTAACGTTTTAATGGCAAACTCTTCCATTATGAACAGATTGGAAGAGTAATAACTGAAAAGATGATAATAAGCAACAAATAACATACAGTCAATTCTTATTATTTGTGGTAGTTATGGCCTATAAAGGGAATACTGAACCCTGACTTAGTGAATACTGAACAACTGCTCCCACGGGCAATTATTGCAAGCCTCTGGTCACAACATTTTCCTCAACTGATCAATACATGAGCTTCTTTTATGTGTGTTTCTGTTTAAAGACACCTTGTTTAGTCATTAACATTGAACACACACCTGAATGACTCTTATTTAACACATGTATTTTCTCCATAAAGCATATTACAGCCTTCTTTCGTACAGGAACACTAGACAGCACTTCACCACTACACTTTGGGGTCATTTTAAACAGCAAAATCATCAAGAAAAGGGACAAAAATGCAAAAAAGGTGGCATAAAGTAGACTGTAAAAAGGACATTTGTTTACAGTAAGAGAACTGAAACAAGAAGATAGAACACTGCCTTGTTCCACCTCTTGAAATATGTGTATCAAGCAACTCAAAATCTTTTTCCCCTCTGAGCATGTCTGTGAATGACTGTGAAAACACAAGTATTAATTTTGGGGCTACAAGTATCTTTTAGTGGATAGGTGAATTCACAAATATGGAGTCCACAAATAATAAGGATTGACTGTATTTCCAAAAAGTAAAAAGATCACTTAATAAATGTGCCTAGGAATACAACCTCTCTAGTGCTCTGCATAAATGACTGAATGCCTGATGAAAATCTGTTCTAAGGAAAATTTAAAATTTACTTAAAACTAATATTAGAATCATAAGATACCTAAATCCTGTAAAGGTTTTAGAGATCATCTAATTCAGCTTCTCTCACATTGCCAATGAGGCAACAGACCCAGAAACAAAAACACTGGTCCACTAACGTTTGCATGGAGTAAAAAAGAAGTCCAGAAACCTAGCCTAGTCACATTTCCATTGAAAAGAACTATATTTTATTTTTCAAATGAGTAATGCATGCCCATTCTAACTTGGAAAATACAGAAAAGTATAAAGCAAAAAACAGCAATAATGTCCCCTTTATTTTAAAATCTCATTAAAACTAAGTATGTATTAAACTCCCCTAAACCCAAAGCCCCTCAAAAGAAGGATTATACCCGCATCAAGTGAGTCATTATTTTCACAATTTCCTCCATAGAAGGGCGCTGAGAAGGATCTTTAGACCAACAGCGAGTCATCAGGCTCTCAATGGGCTTAGGTAAATTTTTGATCAGTGGTGGTCTAGTACCTATAGTTGAAAATTAGAGGAGAAGAATGTATTTACTCAAAGAATGGTATAAATTTTTTACATGTACTTCTAAAATAATATTTATTTTACAGATCTTATAAGATCTATATTCTGGAGTAATAAAAGTACTTTTTTTTTCTTAATCTCCTTTAGGTTAACGTTTATTCCATCTATGTATATTTTCATAAAGGGGAAGCTAAACCTTTACAAGTTAAAATTTTTATAATGTACTATAGTAAGACTGAGAGTTAACAATATACATTTGTCATAAACATTCTTTTAACAAATTAATAATGGCTCAATGTGTTTTATTAACAAAATGGTGGCTTGAAAAAACCTTACCTGAACCATTGCTTTCAGATTCACTGCAAAAATTTCAAATGTGTTTGAAAAATTCACCTTCTGCATCTAAAATGTAGTCAACTATGCTGTTACACTCACTGACCTGCACATGAACCTTTCGTGGGAGGTAGATCTTTTGCCGGCTATGAGTCAATCATTTCACATACTGAAAACTGTCAACTTTTGCGTAATTACCAAGACTACAGTATCATTAGGAAGGTCCTGCTTATCGTCTCAAATATAATGAGATCTTTGCCATTTACTCAATTAACAAGTTAGTTCTTTTATTCTTTACTTCACTGATACTCAATTATTTACTGATAACCAACATAGAGAAAAAGAAAGGAAGCTGTCTTGGTCAATGCTCTAGCACTCTCTACTGTGAAATTAAAGGTAGTATAAGAAATTGTTAAAAATGCTAAGACTCCTCAGATGATAGTACTGTTTGATAAGTCTATGAATGACCTAAGTAGTTAGGGAAACATTTGTTTTTATCATTTGTGGGACAGTATATAAAAATGCCATTAACCAGAATGATTATAATCAAGTGACAGAAATCAAATATCAGAAACAGTTAGAAAGATTAAGTAATTTTCTTTTACGAACAAAATCTGTTTTCCCAAAGTAAATGTGAAATAACTTAATGAAGAGGATGGTTACATTCCAATATTATGTGTGACAGGAAATGTCATTACCAGATCTAAAAAAGGAACAGGAAGGAAGTTAAGGTCACTGAGTCTATACATCAATTTAACTTAATAAATACAGGCATTAGATCCAAAAAGATCTGAATCTGAATCCCAGCTCTAAAATTTACTAATTTTGTGACCTTGAGTACTGCACCTCTCTAGATCTGTTTCTAATTCTGTAAAATGAGGCAATAACGAGAAGATAAAAAGAAAGGATATGTGAAGCACACTGTGCTATGCCTTTTTTAGTGTGACATTATTATTATTCTTCATTTCCTCAACTGGGTGAGACCCTTGCTTCCTAAGTCTCAAGATAAAAAGGCTATAGTGCCCAAATTTTCTTCAGCATGTGAGAGATAAGAGATTTGCATTCTTTCCACACAGTCCAGTCTGCTGCTTCTCTATCTCTCAGAGAGGGCCAACCTAAGCAGTTGGCTCTGGCTTGCCTACTAATGAGTCTTCTCTAATCAGTAGTCAGCACATCTCCTAAGCCCCAAACACTGACTCAGTGCAACAGAGGTAGGACCATTCCCAGCCTTGCTTTGTTCAAGTGGGTGTGGTGTAGGAGGTGATAGGTTAACATAAAATATTCTAGTAACAAAAAACTGATCATTTTAATGTAAGGATGAATTGTCTTCCTTAGGGAGAGGGAACAGGAGCAGTTTTGCAAATAGGAAAAAATATAAAATACATTAAAGAAAGTTTCTTTTCACAAACCATTGTGAACAGCCCACATGATACGGAAAGCGGGGCCACCAATTTCATCAAAAGGTTTCCGCCGTGTTATTACTTCCCAAAGGATAATACCCCAACTGAAGACGTCACATTTTTCACTGTAATTGCTACCTAGGGAAAAAAAAAGCAAATAATTTTAAGACTCTTTTCCCCCCACACAACTTACAGAAATAACTGTTTCCATAAATTTTAAAAATGGGCATTTTGTAGAAAAACAAGAAGCTTCTATATGTATAGTTGAGAAATTACTCTTTCTGAAGTACCTTATGTTTTTTCAATAAACATATTTTTTAATGCATTAAGTAGCAACACTGCACCGCCCCCCCTCCCCCGCCACCGGAAAAAAAAGCTCACTTTAGAAAGTCAGTTATTTTCTATCTTCTCGTCAAGAGGCACAGGCCTTGTCTTTATTTAATTTAGACTGATACTTTCTCTGGGATAGAGTATAAAACATCTGTACTTTCCTTTCTGTAATTTTTTAATCTTAACCTTTCTTTATCTATTTTTCTTGATGGATGGCATTACTCCATATCACTGGAAAAGAACTTTCTAATTTAGTGTTAAGATTTTCTTCCCCCTCAATATCTGGTGAGATAAAATTCTTAATTTGCAAACTTAAAAAACTAAGTTCTAAATCATGAAAATAATAGATAAATTTATAATAGATTAACGCAGCAAAACTTACGCAGTACGAAGTTAATGGGTGAATTATCACAAGAAATAGCAAAAAAAAAAAAAAAAAAAAACCTAAAAAATTGAAAAATCTTTATAGTGATAACTACACACATTACATAGTACAATGTAATGCAGCAGCACAATGAGGTTAAAATATAATTTGGGCTATAGGTGCCATCAGGACAACTCTTTCAGAAATGAAGAAATAACCTGCGCTTTGTTTTACACCTCCAATTCTCACTCAAGTTCTTAAAGAATGGTCTATAAATTTCATACCAGATTTCTGTATAAAAATAACAAACTATACATGTAAAACATTTATACATAAAAACATCTAAACAACTAACAGGGCAAAATATGTTTTCTGTACATTAACTTGAAAACAGGAGGCATTACTTAGTTTTGTATAAATTAATACTTGTTTGTCCACCAACTTTTTATTAGAATTTTAGGGCAAAATAGCTCCATGGCTCCAATCAAATGACTAGCTGCATAGCAAATTTCTCCTTTTCTGGGGTGGCTAAAAACAAATAAATAATCAAAAGCCTTTAAATTCATCAAAAATAATAGAAATAAACCATAACCAGAATCTGATTACTGAAAACATCTGAATCATACTTACTAACATACAATTATACATCTTCAGTTCAGCTTCTCTCACTGAAAAGATAATTTGATGTTTTTATACAGAAATCAAGAATGAAGTTTAATGACCACTCTTTAAGAATCTGAGTAAAATATGGAGGTGTAAAAGAAAGTAAACATAAGCTTGCCCCGTATTTGTAATTCTGAATATCATATTTCTGCCCAATTTTCCCCTAAGGCATGCTAATTTAAACTTCAGTACTCTCAATTTTTAATCTCTAGGAAACAATACAAAAGTACACTATGCTTGAACTTGTACAGAAAGTACAAGACAACTTAAATCTTGCTTTAAGATTTAAAATCTAAGGCTATATTTATTTAATGTCTCCTTAAGACTCCAGCATATACCTTATATGAAGTCTCTGGGTGGTGTAAACGGTTAAATGCTTGACTATTAGCCAAAAGGCTGGCAGTTCGAACCTACCTGGAGGCACCTCAGAAGAAAGGCCTGGTGATTTGCTTCTGAAGGGTCACAGTCTGGAAAACCCTATGGAGCAGTTCTACTCTGCTCACATGGGGTCGTCATGAGTCAAAATCGACTAGATGGCAATTAACAGCAACAACAAATATACCTTGCTATTATGAACTATACTGAAATAAAACCACAGAAATGGGGTAAAGCTATAAACAGACATATTGGATTCACACAGAATGAGACTGATTATCAATCACATCATGCTGTTGCCATTTACCTTCAAAAACTTCAGGCGCCATCCATGCAGCACTCCCCTTGTTATTGGTCATATGTGTCTGAATGTCACAGGCTGTACCAAAATCGCAGATTTTTAGAACTGTCCCCCCTGCAACCAGCAATAAGCTGTTAAAAAAATAAATCAAAGGTTATAAGACTAATATTTAATTCTATGATAAAAAAAATTTGTGGAAACAGAAAGGGTTAAGCAAAGTATTATCAGTTAACTTCTGTGAAATGTTAGTTGCTCACTACAATAGCCTCATCAGTTTAGAGGATAACAGCAAAAAGTAACTGACCTTAAAGCCCCATAGACACATCCAAACTCCCTGAGGGACTGAATAGCTGGGTGGAGGGCTGTGGGGACCATGGTCTCAGGGAACATCTAGCTCAATTGGCATAACACAGCTTATAAAGACAATGTTCTACATTCTACCTTGGTGAGTAGTGTCTGGGGTCTTAAAAGCCTGTGAGCGGCCATCTAAGATACTCCACTGGTCTCATCCCTTTGGGAGCAAGGGAGAATGAAGAGAACAGGATACAAGGAAAAGATTAGTCCAAAGGACTAATGGTCCACAGCTACCAAGGCCTCCACCCGACTGAGTCCAGTACAGCTAGATAGTGCCTGGCTACCACCACTGACTGCTCTCACCAGGATCACAACAGAGGGGTGTGGACAGAGCTAGAAAAGGATGTAGAACATAATTCTAACTCATAAAGAAAAGAGCAGATTTACTGGCCTAAAGGAGACTGGAGAACCCCCGAGAGTATGGCCCCCAGACACTCTTTTAGCTCAGTGGTGAAGTTATCTCCGAGGTTCACCGTTCAGCCTGGGAGTGGACAGCCCCGTAAAACCAAATGGGACTAATGAGGTACAGTAGTCCAGTGACAAGGGCCAGAAGGCAGAAGGGGACAAGGAAGCTGGCGATAGGGAACCCAAGGTTGAGTAAGGATATTGTTGATGTGTTTTGAGATTGTTAACCATTGTCATAGGGCAACATGTGTACTGTTACATGAGAAACTATTTTGTTCTGTAAGCCTTCATCTTAAGTGAGAATAGCAGCACAACTGGAAGAGCGTAGTCGATGTCACCGAACTGTGCATGTAGAAATTTTTGAAATGGTGTATCTTTGGCTATGTGTATTTTCACCAAAAAAAGTTTGAGAAGTAAGAAGGTTGACATGTTGTGGGGTTGTTAACCAATGTCATAAAACAATATGTGCACTACTGTTTGATAAGAAACTATTGGTTCTGTAAGCCTTCACCTGAAATACAATAAAAAAAAAAAAAAAAGGAACTGACCTTAGCCTAGCTCTCACAGAAGCACTGCTAGACTCATGTTTTGATATTTCCATCTCTACCTCCAAAATCTTTCCTGACCATATTTCTGTCTGGGCCAACATAAAAAACATGGGGTTTAAAGAAATTCAACATTATGGTGACCTGAAATGGGAGTGGATGGATGCCAAATACCTTCATAAATCACTGCCCCCTGTACTTAATCTACCCATTCTAGTGTTTTTCAAGCTGAAGGCAGAAACCTAATAATGCTTATAAAAACAATTTAGTAAGCCAAGACAGCATTAAAAAAAAAAAAAATTAAGGAGAAACGAACTGAAAATATCAGAGTGCATCACAACTACTAACAGTAAGTATAGTTTCGTGAAACTTGTTTTAGTTTTGTATGTATAAATATGCATACACATGTGCTGGATTGTTAAGTATTACCTACTGGGAACATGGTCAAAAAGTTTACAAACCTGCTTTGGTCTCACCAATGGTGAACAAAACGAGAGCCTTTAGTGGAGCCTATGCAGCAAGAGGAATCCCTGGGTGGTGCACATAGTTAACATGCTTGGCTACAAAGAGAAAAGTTGGAGGTTCGAGTCCATCCAGAGGTGCCTTAGAAGAAAGGCCCGGTAATCTACTTTTGAAAAAATCAGCCACTAAAAGTCCTATGGAGCACAGTGCTATTCTGACAGACATGGAGTTGCCATGAGTTGCAATCGACTTCACAACTTTTTTGTTTGTTTAATCTAGCAAGACTGATTAGCTGTTCACTGACTCCATTTCCTTTCCCTCCAGGGCACACTACTAGATCACATTTCCCAGCCTCCTGTACAATTAGATGTGGCTATATGCTATATGACCATTCTGGCCAATGGAACGTGGGTGGAAGTCATGTACTTCACTTCTGAGTCTGGGCTATAAAAATTTCTGACATGTGATACTTTTTTTTTTTTCCCCACCTGCCAGCTGAGGATTCTGAGATACAAGATCAAAAGAGGCAGGGATCCTTAATCACCATGTGAAAAGCTGTCCATCAATCAGGAACATCCATTTTGGACTTCATGAGTGGAAAATAAACTTGCACTGCATTAAGACACTGAGATTTCAGTACTTATTACTGCAGTGTCACTCTAACCAATACAAGAAATTGGTATCAAAATGTTATAACAAAAATCTAATATATTTGGTATTGGCTTAGCAGTAGGTTGCCAGGAAACTGAAATTGAAGACTGGAGAGATGAAGACCCATGTGGCAAGACACTTGGTAAAACTTGGCTGTGTTAATCTGTGATTTTAAAGGACTTGGAAAACTGACAGCTTCTAGACTCCGAATAGTAGGAAATAAAACTGACAAAGGCCCATTAAGACAGCCATGAAGCAAAGAACAGATTAAGTACTTCCTACCTAAACTTGACTGTTTCAAGATACCTCCAATAGGTTAAGAAAAGAGCACTGGGGTCAGCAATCAAATCAGGCTCAAGAAATTGCCTAATAAAGAATTCTGGTTATAGTTACTGGCACATGGAACTGACTGGCACCAAAGAAATCAGAAGTCTGTTTTGAGCAAATTACTTGTCAAAGAAACCACAAGCCTAGAATAAAGAAGTCTTTGAGTCTTACAACAATCCTCAGGACTCCAGATCTGCATAAGCAGGGAGCAGGCTGTGAAGGCCATATGTACAGCTTCCAAGGAGGAAAACAGCACAAAACCCACTCCAGGTATGGCTGCAGAGAATAACAGACAAGGCAAAGCCTGCAAAGGGGAGAAGCCAAGAGTCATGAAGAACAATGGATAAGGAAGCTCCTTCCCAAGGACAGAATCAGGGTCTGATCAAGAAATCCTGCACACTACCAGGGCAGACGGACCCAACACAGGGTGTCAAACCTACAGAACAGTAACTGCAATACATCTCCATTCTCTCCATTTCCGAGTAACATCTTTAACTGACCATCCTCTCTTCTGCCACTGCATGTGTGTTAGGAGAGACAAATAACTTGTCTTTCTAGTTCATGTGCTGCCAGAGCCACATCTGTCGTGGACTGCTGGAGAGGATGGCACATCATCCCAAAATGCTGCACTGTAAGCTGGATGGTAACTAGAAGAGAATTTGGAGTATTTCCCTGATAAGGGGTGGGGGGTGGGTGATTCTACATGTGGTAAAAGATGTTTGGAGACCAGAAAGGCAGACTGTGGACGGCTGGCCAGCTGCTGACCAAATCCATTCACTTTCTCTTGAGCATACAAGACTAGATTTCCCAACTTCTCTTGCTGTTAGGTGTGGCAAGAATTGAGATAGTAGTCAATGGCAAGTGGAACAAGTGACATATGTCACTTCTAGGTCTGGTTCAAAAAACCTCCCATACATGATTCTCCATTCTCTTTTTTCATGTGCTGGCTGAACGAAGAGGTTTCCAAAGCCTGAAGGGTGGCAGAACCACAAAATGGGGGAGGCTAATTAGGTCCCTGAGTGAAACGTCACCTGCCAAATAGGAACAACTGTTTTGGATTTCACGTGAGTAATAAATTTCTATCGTGTTAAACCGTTTACTGGTTACAGTAGTTAGTGTTAAACCAACTACCATACCCAGCTATTAAGATTCCCTTAAAAAACTGATATTCATAGTTTTAGGTTTTTCATATCTCAACGTAACTTGTTAATCCTTTAAGAATTAAAATGTACAAAGTATTTTGAAAGTGTAAAAAAAACTATGAAAGTAAAAGATAATTTTTATTAGTTTATTACTCATGACTCCTGGCATCTCTCCTTTGCAGGCTTTTCCTTGTCCATTATTCTCCAGCCATATCTGGAGTGGCTGTTGTGGTGTATCCCTGCTTGGAAGCTGCACGGCCTTCACAACCTACTTCCTGCTTACGCAGATCTGCAGTCCTGAGGGTTGTTGCAAGATTCAAAGCCTTTTTTGTTCTAGGCTTCTGATTTCTTTGACAGTATAATTTGCTCTCTACATCATTACCTAAAAGGTTTATAGACATGTGGGTTATTCCACAAATGGGTAGAAATAATTCTTTACATTAAATTCCTACCCACCATCTCTTCTTAAATGCAAAAACACATTACTGTTTTATACAGCCAATGTTTATTTGTATGTTTACTGATTTTTCCCCCCACCGTTCCTTCTTGAAACTTGGACTTGCCTTCTGTAATTGTTTTCTTTATTCCCGAAGCACATCTTTTAGAAAGGCCTTTAATGGAGGTCTGTTTGCAGCAGATTACTCTCAAGTTTTGTTTCAAAATGTCTTTTATTTACTTTTAAACAGTAATTGAGACACAGCCAACCCCAAAGCACTTTTAACCTGCCTGGTTCGAGTTTTCTTGACTGCACGTAGGGCAAACTGAAGCCTACAGTAGAATGAGGGCAGACTCTCAGCAGAGAATTACAAGTCTACCTAGTGAGAGAACAGATTTTCTATTTCACCTTGAAGCTGTCTCCTCCAAGGGTCCTGAATTTATGCAGCGGTCTCAGTTCTGATACCTCACCTGAACAGAACAAAGGACCTGTCTCCAGTTACACAGGAGTCATTAGAACCTGGGGCTCTGCATTCTTGGTATTGGCAGAAGCTCACAGGCAAGCCCTTGGCTCCCATGCTTGCTTCACACTCAGGGTTCTGTTCTCTCCATCTTTGCCCAATGAGTTCCCTTATTTTCGTGTAAGATCACCTATGCACGTAAAAGGATGTTGGTTGTAACATGCAGTATTTCTGGGTGTTTGTTGTGGGATGCTTTCTCAGTTTATTATTAAGAGTTCCAAAATTCTTTTTATCATGTGTCCAAAGAATCAAAGGCCATATTTCTATACAATCTTTATGAGCACACAGA